ACATTGAATTTACAATATATTTTACTAATATTGTGATTCAACACCTTTTCTTTTTTTATTCTTAAAAAGCCTTTATTTTCTGCATCTCTTGAAATATATGTTAAAATTGGCAATAAATTATCTTAATTGTTACGAATTCTGGATTTTAAATTATAAGTCTGTGTCTATTACCCATCTTTTATAGATGGATAGTTATTCAAGAATTATCTTACAATCAATAAATCTGTGTCTATTAGAGAAGGAGTTGTGAAAAGTCTTGGCTGGTAGTTCTGACAGCATAAGAAACATTTATTATGTGACCTTAACTTGAGTTCATGTGTGAATCACATGATGGATAATTTTGATATTGTCAAAATTATAAGATAATTTTGGTTTTTTATTTTTTAATAAGAGAATATCTTAATAATTAAGAGTTTATATTTTTATGTTTTACATTTTAAATTCAAATATTAAAATAGGTAAAATGAATCATCTTTTATTATATAATTTATTATTTTATGTAAAAAATAATTAAAAGTCTAAAGTTTGAATAAAGAAAGAAATGGAGAAGTATTAACGAACATGTCCCCTGCAAAGTACGGTCCGCAAAGTAAAATTCCAAATCATGGTTTTGGCATTAATTAATTAACTAAAACCTTAAATTGTTGTTATTAAATCATTTATGGATGGCATATTCGTTATTCTATGTAATGCTTAGGGATAGTTTCGTAACTAAGCTTTGAAGTTAGTTCCGATCGTTGGGGGACATAATTCCTGTCCGTTGGTGAGGACTGAGGAAGCTATTCAATGGGCCCACCTTCACAAAACTAACGGTTCGGATCTATTCCTTTGATTTTTCTTTTTTTTTTTTGGTGAATCTATTCCTTTGATTTGGGCCCACGGAAACAACTTTATGGTCTTTCGCGCCAACTCCAACGACATGTGTTCGCTTGTCGTTTTACTTTGACGTGTGGCGGGGAAGCCGGGTTACCTTTGCTTTTTTTATGGGATAAGCAACTAACGGCTGATATACAGTGCTCGAATATCTATGGCCGTTGGATTTGGCGGGAAAGAAGAACAACAGTGGTGGGTTGACTGCCGTTGCCGCCGCCGCCGCCGCCGTCAGCTTTGGTGTGGTTTCCGAGGAGAGAGGATTGCATGCTTCTCGGATGGAAAACTTTTATAGTTTATACCACTAAGAGTTGTTTTATTCAGGGTTAAAAATTAATTATTAATGATTTTTTTAATATAATGGTTAATTATTATTATTATTATTTTAAATATTTTTATTTATCGAATTATATGAAATTTTCAATGGTTTGTTTGAAATGGTTATATCAAATAATGTTTAAAACATAAAAAGTTTTATAAATTTATGTTTTTAATGTATATGTTAAGAGTGTATTTATTATTTTTTATTATTAATTTATAATTAAAAATTAAAAATTAATTTAAATTTTAGTAATTATCTAATTAAATAATTTTATATGATATTAAAACTAAAAATAAAATTTACTTTTATAATTTTTATGTAAGTTAATGATAAAAAATATATAAATATAAAAAAACCTTCCAAAACAAAAACCAATGGGCTAATCTCTCGAAGCCCACCTCCCCCGGTCCACAACTTACTAATGACTCACCCAAATGATTGACTCGGTCTCCGCAGGCCCACACCTTTTAGGCCTGTGACTCCAAGATTCAGGGTCGTTGGGCAACAACTTCAGTTGAGGTTGCTAATCTCACTATTTCTCTAAGAATCTGGTGTTTCGCATAATAAATTGTATTAAATTACAAAATAAAAATATTATAAATGTAAGAGTGTTTTTAATGATTTAAATTATATAATATAAATTTCAGAATTTTTTTAATTAGTAAATTTAAATTTTTATATTGTTTTTATGCATTTATATTTTTTGTTTAAACAGGATGCCTCCAAATTAGTTTCCACGCACACTGGAATGGTCTTATCCAGTATTGGCAGTTACATCTTGTCACTGGTATCATAATTGTACGCTTGAATTATTTTCCATGTTGGGCTACCTAACATTTTTGTGTTCATTATAACCACATGCTGGTAGAAGTCTAAAGATGTACATGACAGCAACCCTTCTGTGTTAATCGCCCTTTCTAGATTTTCCACATTTCCTTCTCTCCTGCTGTTCAACCCAAAATAATTCCTGCCAAAATCAGTCTCAAAAACCTAATTTTCCAGTAACTAAACCCTACTCTTTAAAAACATGTCAACCAAGTAAATTACTATCTGCAAACGACTTAAATAATTCAGTAGTTATTTTTTTTATTAAAAATAAGAAATCTTAAGTTTAAGTTACATGACATACGAGTGAATTGAGATAAAGGATACGAGAGAATTGAGATAAAGGATACGAGATAGTTTCTTCCTATTGTGCAACCAAAAAAAAAAAAAAGAGTAAATTACCACCTAATATTGTGAGTATACAATATACATTTGTTACTTTTAAACCTTGAGTTGGGTAAAAAAAATTGAGAAAATAGGAGAGTTATTCCTTTTTATATAATTTATTATCAAATATACTCAAAAAATAAAAATTGTAACATTATCTATATCTACATACTTGTGCTGTGTGTTATTTTTTGACTTACTAAGTGAAAATTCATTCCCTTCCAATATACCCTTCGTAAAGTCAGTCATCTCAAGTCATCTATAATTTAAATATCTCGTGACACTTCGAGTCTAAAACTTACAAACTCACACAAGAAGAGACAAGTGCATGCTTAACTACCAGGACAAAAATGAAGAATTAGACAAGTGCAAGTTTATTCCAGATCATGGATCATGCAGAAATTAATTAATGATGAGCATGGACCTAACCATGTGGACCAACATCATGGATGCCATTGTGATTGCCATCTTTATGCAACGGCAGCTTCCCAGCAATTGTACTGGCAAGTCACTTTCCTGCAGGGAATCCGAAGCTACATAGGCCAAAGATTGGAAAATTTTGCTCCCCGAGTTACGTAGCCAAGTCGGCAATATATTGTACTAGTATACGGGACAATGACTAGCAATAAAAATTAATAAATTATTAGTATATATTTGGCACAACACTTTTTTTTTTTTACATTTGTTTTTGTTCAATTATTAAAATATAATATAAATATACTCAATTCAATTTATTTATACATTTTATATGTATGATTATATTTTTAAATTTATTTACTTTTAATTTCACGTTAAAAAATAATAATTTTTTAATAAATGTATTGTGTTATGTATTAAACTAAAATGTATATTAATCACAACATATATATGAAATTTGCTTTGTTACCAAACTAGAAGGGATAAAGATTACAGCAATGTTCCAAAAATCCAGCCATCAGTTTGCCAAGAGGATATATTTTCTCAGTAGAAAATCCAAAAATCGCTACCCCAATTCCATCCAGAAAATGGTTGGTCCAAATTGGTTTGCACAAAATCCATACATAGATCGAAGTATGGCATTTTTTTCTGTTGCAAGTTAGTGTATGATGTCTTGTTTTAGGACCCCTTAAGTGGAAGCATTATTGCTAATAATTGGATTGTGTAAATCCTTCATGCATGAGAGGCTTTAGGTTGAGTCTAGTAAGTCACAATGAGTGTCAATGATACAATGTACAATGTGTTTTATTTGATCCATTATATCTAGTAATTATACATCCCTTGTTGCAAGCAAAATGTAAACTTTTATTTTCTCATTTTTTCTAAAAGAATTTAAACTATACAATAAAAAATAATTATTTTTTATTTCTTTACTCACTTCACATGTAAAGTATTACAATAATCTTTTTAATAATTAACATGCAAACCTAAACTTCATCATTAGATGAAGTTATAATTCTTGAGACAAATTATGGTTCATGAGAAAGAGCTGACTTACTCTTATCTTAATAAGAAATTTTGATGATAATTTTGTGAAATTGATATATGATATATCCCATAAAAATAAAAATAAATAAATAAAATATCATATAATGGAAAATAACCCAAACTCCTGGAAGTACTGATTAGTCCACCGAAAGTCTTGCATTTGTCTGGTTAGAATCTACTAGTTGAGATGTTTTGCACACATTTCATGTGTGCCTCCATCTTTATATAGAGACTTTTGAAGAGACAAGAGCATGACAGTCTGCTCCACGGGTTTTTTTGACGTTGAATTCCATGGGAACATTGGCAGCATCTAACCCTTAATTGATGGAGAGCCTCCGCGAAGAATATATGTCATTCACGACTTTTCTTTCTTCTAATACCAAATCCCCAAATCAAAACTACATTTCTCTTCAACTTTCTTTCCTCAAAATATAACAAGAATCCCTACTTTCCAATTTTATTATGGGTGCCTTTAGTAGCAAGAAGAAGACTAGGAATTATAATTATGGGAGGAAAAATGTGAAGAGCTTAACAGAGGAAGTGAGGCTGCTGCAAAAGGAAATCAACCAAATTATGCATGAGAAGGAGAAGGAGACTCGAGAATACGACAGACGAGTAATGGCACTCACGTTTAGGGAAGCAGAGTGGAAGGGAGAGAGGAAGAAGCTGAAGGAGGAGGTGAAGAGGCTAAGGAAGGCAGTGGATGAGAAGGAAGGAAAAATTAGGGAATTGGAAGAGAATTATGGGTTGGTTGGAGGGAAGTGTGTTTCTTGTGATAAAGGATGGCCATTGTTGGGGAGCAGTGGCGGCGGCGGTGGCGGCTGCAGCAGCATCTTGGTGGAGAAAGTGAGGGAGGAGAGAGCAAGGAGAAATGAAGCAGTGGAGAAGTGGAAGCAGCTGTACCTTGCTATCAAGACTGAGCTTGATGATCTCATTCAGAGAACTCATGGTGCTGTATCTATCTCTTTTACATAGTAATTAAATTGAATTCCACGCTAAATCATACCCATCATTTGCATATATATAGGTGATTTAAGTAAAGTTAGGATTCATTTACACACATTTCTTTTGTGCTTAATGTTTTAGGAGATGCACTTTATTGGAGAGCAGAGGAAGAAGAGACGGTGGAGGAGCTAAGAAGGGAAGTGAGGAGTAAAGAAGAAACCATAGAAGGTCTACAAGTTCGATTAGCTTTAATGGAGCGAGAAGAATATGAAAGGAAAAGAGAAATTGACATTCTCAGGCAAAGTTTGCGAATCTTGAGCTGCAGCAGGAAGAAAGTATCAAATGTTTCCAAGTCAGGACTAGTGAAATACACATGACAGATGATCCAATCAAGGGGATACTGCAAAGGCAGAAAATTTCATGTAGGGTTTTAGTTTTAATTAAGCTAAAAAAATGTGAATTTTTTTCTTTCTTTCTTATACTCCATCTCGAATCTTATATCTTTTTAGTTAAAAGCAAAAATTTGCTTGTTTTTATGAAAATTGACATTTCTTCGAAATATAAGACAAGTTACGACATGATATTAATTGATAATAAATTGAGTAGTTATCATTGTAATTAATTCACATTTATCTCATTATGTCACGAAGTAAGATACTCTCATTTAACAGTTTTCACTTACAAGTCAGAATCTTGCTATGCTTCTTCCCTGTTTAATGCAAACACTGGAAAGAATCTGTTCCCCAAAGCCAAAATACTGAAAATCTGAAGAAGCAAATAGCAAGAGATCGACAACATTGAAGACTAGAAAGAAACTGTGGAAAAAGAACACAAACCAGACCTATTGGGTTCAGTTTCCCAATATCTTAGGCTTAGCATAAGGACCTGCACACATAAGTGAGCCCAGGCCTAATCCTGAACAATTCCAAGCCCTCCCATTAATCAGCTTCCTAACTAGGTAATTCCTTCACGTTGCGCACCTACAATTTGCGACTAGCCCAAACTAAAATCCTAAACCATGATAACTATAGTATTTTTGTCCTAAAATAAAAATTATTAAATAAAAAGTAACTTCTAATATCAAAAGATTTTTTCCTATCCATTAATATTTATTGCAGCTTATAGGTAAATGATTTTTCTTTACTAGTACTTTTTTTTTTTAATTTTAGATTATATAACATAAAATAATCATTTCTCGCCTTTAACTCTTTCACTGTTTGCCATACAATCTGAATATAAACCTCTTATATTTATCATAAGTAGATTATTAAGAGGCTAATTAAGTCATTGAATCCTCTATTATTAAATTAAGGGTTTCATCGATCGCCCATAAAGAGATCGTCCACGGAGAGATTGACCACAGATTAATTTGTGCACTGAACATAAATAATATCCAAAAAGAAAAAAAAAAAAATCCTATACGTGTCATAAAATAAAATAAAAAAACTACACATTTATGCCTGTGCTTAAAAGATGGTATATAGATTCTCCTTTTATACAAAAAATGGTAATGTAAAGATTTATATACCTTAAATAATCACTTTCCTTAGAAAAGGCAACGTTTGCATATTGGATACGACAGCCAAAACACAGCCCCTAATCCCCTATGCTCCATTAAAGTAGAGAGAAACACCATTTTTTTTTATTCCTACCGCAACTAATTTAGACATGGATTCTTCTCCAAGAAATTTCTCCCTCCTAATCATGTTTACTTTCATTTTTACAATTTTTGGTTTTGGTTAGTCACTGGATATGGAAGTTCGCGTTTTCAACATCTTGGGTGCAGGTGTGGAGCTAACCCTTCATTGCAGATCAGCAGGGGTAGATCTTGGACAGCACAAGATTTCTACTCAAGAGCAATACTACTTCACTGTCGTGCCTGGAACGCCGGTTTATAGCTGTAGTTTTGTATGGCCAGGAAATGCTCATAGCTTCGATATATATGTAGAGAAACGAGATTATGAAAACTGCAAGGAGTATTGTTTCTGGGAAATAAAACCCAATGGCCCTTGTTTTACAAGTACAAAACAATGTTATCCGTGGAGTTAGCCCAACATAATTTGTCTATGTGGGTGGAAGCTAAAGTTTGGGACTTTAGACCCGGCATATAATATTTGTCTCTAGGCCTTGTTTGGTGAAATGAAATAAGCAGAACAAGAGATGTTCTAATCCAACCCAACCCAATTTTATTGTGCGTTTTGGATATTGGTTCCATTATTGTCATTCTTGGGGGTTTATATATATATATATATATATATATATATTTATAATGAAGTAT